CCCCAAAACCCCAAAACCCCAAAACCCCATCAAGCTTTATCTAATTTTTAGAGATTTATGATAAAAAATACTTAAAGATTGCGATTGAACTCTAAATAGACGGATATTATATTTTACTTGAGCATAACAGCATCTCAGTGAAAATTTATTAATAGCTCACTTTCATAAATATTTTCAATGTAAGACATCTCCGTCTTATTAGTGATCATTAGCAAGATCAGAGTGGCTTTTATCGGCATTTAAATGAATTCTGTTGCTGCTACTTATGCTATCTTCATCCCTCATATCTAAATTACTGAGCTGTGGCAAACTTTCATTTTTGGAAACTGCAGTTTAAATGCCATTTCTTACTGTGCTTAAAGTAGAATTTTTCCCTTAGTTTAATACATTCTTGGTACTCATTAATCCTCTTCTCTCAGCATTTAGTCTTGATTTAGAGACAATTTCAAATTAACTAAGATTGATTGAAATCTATTTTTAATGATTAAGATTAATAGACTGTGATTACATTTTAATTTCTTATTTTTGATAGAGTGTCATTTAGGCTACTATAATTAGTAGTATGTGTATCTCTGTCTCTCTCTAGATGAGAACGGTTTTCTTAAATTTTTAAGAAATTCAAACTCTGGTTGACTGGATTATTTGAGCTCCGATCTACACTTGAACTTAAATCTAGTCTATCCGATGGTAAAGGACTTAGTTTTCCCTTCATTCTTATATTTACTACACCATTGTTCCCTTAGATTTCCTTTAGTCTCTTTGCAGTTAAATCAATTTGCTTTAGAAATATAAATAGATTTAACTTACTTTTCTAAGACTAGCAATTTCTTATTTCTACTCATCAAGTTATGACTCCATACTTTTAACTTTCTTATCCGTGTATATTTAGTCTTTTCTATGTCTTATCAACATTTCATCCTTTTATTTGGCTATCTTTTCTTTTTCATTAAGAACATTAGACAATTCCAATCTCAATATCATTTCATTTTCATTATGATTATTAGCTCTGTTAGCATTTAGAATTGAAGTCACCCCATTTTTTTTCTCGTCATAGTTTTGCAGCTTTTTCATTAATTTCTCCCTACCTTTCTCTAGTTTTAGGATTCTAGTCAGCAAAACTTAATTTTGCTCCTTAGACTCTCTTAATTAGCCAGAGAGATTTTCAATCGTCTGCTGCATAATTTACTCCTAAGAGATAAGTCCACTATGATTCTGATTGTTGTTAATTTTATGGATAAGACGCTCAAGTTTGGCATTAGTTTATTTTAACTCTAATATTTCCCTATTTTTGCTTGCAACTTCTGAATGCAGATCTGAGATACTAGGAAAGGCCCCGCCGAAAGATATATTATTCTTCTTCAAATTCTCATTCTCCTTTCTAAGAATGTTGAGTTTCTAATGCATGTTCTACAACTCCTTTTCTTTTATATACAGTGCATGTTCATCTGTTAAACGTTCCACAGATGATGGCAGCCCACTTCTTTCAACACTTCCTTTGTCATTATCCTTTTTCTTTTTCTAACTATGCTGAATTATCATAAGTTCCTATCTAAGTTGATCACTATCCATTTGTGATCCTTGTAAATCTAGTTTAATTGCTTCAATATCCTACTTTAGAGATTCATTTTCAAATCGCAGATTTTCATTTTCATCAAATAATTCTTAGAGCTTCTTACTTAATTCTGACATTTATGATGATTGCAGGTCACTTTATTATTAAATTTTCATACTGCTTCTTTTGCTTATTAGTGACTCATTTGTACCAAATTAAGTGGTAGTCGTATTACCTTTTTAAAGCTACTAAGGTAGGGTGGATTCCTTGAAAGTTTTGTTTAGTAAATTGGGTGATCTTTTTTGTTGCTAGAAAGCTTATCTATCTGCTTCAAAGATTTCTTAATTGTCAACTAACCTTTAACTATTCTTAATCTCATTTAAATCTTTTTTCCTAATACTCTGCTCATTTAAAATGGACTGTAAATTTATTGTAGATTCATCTTCTTATTCTAATAGCTAATGTTTTAAAACATTTTAATCCTAATCAAGATCCTGTGCAAAAGTGTAGAGTCTCTCAGCAGCTTCATTTTAAATTTGAGATTTTGCATGAGTAGTTTAAGATTCAGCTTACCTTTAGTTCTATATATTTTCAGCCTGACCTTTTATAGATTTGACATCCTTAGTATTTATGATTTATAATTATTATTGCTGAGTGACTAGATTTTCTTCAATATCCTATGAAGACTCTTGCTCTTTCTATACAATGGCCAAATTTGTTCCTTAATTTTATATGAAATGACGAGTTGTTTACAATTACTACAAATTGTTTTCTTAATCACCCGACTCATTCATTGAACTATTCAATTGAGGCAAGATACTTTAATCTTCTTATCCAACAATTATTTAAACATTTTGCAAATGATGATTACTCAAAGATTTAAATTCATTTTCCATTCGCTAATTTTCAGTTTTTTTGTCAATAGAATCCTTTTGCATTATTTTTTCTTCTAATTTTTCTATTAATTTTTTTTCCTCATCTGCAAACTTTTATAATTAAACAGCAGATCTTTGATTACTTTAAACAGAAATTTATGTTTATTATTTTAATTCTTCTTTCTGAACTATTGTATTCATTTATACTTAATTTGGGGAAACTTCCTCAATAACCTATTCAGCTTTTAAGTTTAATTTTTAATCTTCAATGATTTGACTTATTTAATCATTCTCTTGCTTTTCTTATTTTACTGAAACTTTCCTTGATAGAGCATGAACTTATTTAGAGACAGGTTCTTTACTTTGCTGACTTTCATTATGTTATGCTTTATCTTGAACTACAATTGTTTGATCCTTTTTAGTTCTATTTTCAATTAGCTGCGCTCTCATTTTATCCATTTCTAATTGTTTTTATGCTTTTATTAATCTCTCCTAGTACTTCTGTTCAATTAATTTGTTGATCTCTTCATTATCTTAATTAATCTAACTGTTTATTAATTAATCTTAAGTAATTTATATCTCATCCTTAAAATCCTCAATTTTTTCTTCCTCTTATTTATCTTCTATCTTAGGCATTTCTAGTATCTCGGATAATTATTTCATATTATCAAGCTCTCTTCGTCGATCAATTTCAGAATTACTGTCATTTCTATGGCCTCTCATCGAGACTGCCTAACTTAATCTTGGAGAGTTAAAAATTGAACTTTTAGCTGATTAAACAACAACATCTGCAATAGGAAATGAAAAATTAACAGTAATAGGATTTAAGTAGTACTCTGCAGGCAAGTTGAGGAATTACTAAGTAATTTCTACATTTTTAAGGGAGGTGTTGGTGAATTCTTCCATTTGAATATAATTGGACTCTATTAATAAAGTTATCTTAAAAATTATTTAATTTATGAACCCACCTACAAAATACAATCTGCATCGGTGGGGTTTTGGGGTTTTGGGGTTTTGGGGTTTTGGGG